GCTTTTTGAGACGGTCTCACTATGTAGTTGAGACTGACCTGGAACTCACTATGTAGCCCAGGCTGGTCTCAAACTCACAGTGATCATCCTGCCTCAGCCTTCCAAGTGCTGGGATTATAGGGGTGTGCCACCACGCCCAGCTGTGCCATTGGTTAATTTTGAGCAGCAGAGTTCTTGTATTTGACTGTCTTGCAAAGACTTCCTTCTGATAGCATTCTGGAGAATAGATTGCATCTGAGAATGAGTGGCGTCTAGAAGGGGAGGCCTTAGGAAGATACTGATGGTATTAACAGAAATCTGCAGCCGAGACTATGTTGTGTGGTAAACTGATACCTTCAGTGTATAAATTATACGAGTCTCAGATGTACTAGTAATGTTTCCAAGTATGAAACATTTCTCCTTGTTAGCTTCAGGGACAAGGTTCTGGGCTGCCATGTGTAGTTATACACATAGCTTACAGCACACAGCAGTGCCTGGGCAAAGGCTGGGTTTGAAACTCCATCCAATTCTACTTGCCAAGCTGTGAACCTTGGCATGCTCCTGCAGATATCCAAATGGTTTCTTAATTTTAATTTTGTTTCCTTGGGAAGTGAGGAAGGTAAATGAGTACATTTAGGCAAATGACAGACTGTGGGCCAATTCAGTCTTGTGAGTGAAGAACTGCTATATTTAAGGAGTTGGAAATATAGTCAAAGGACAGTTTTGGATTACATGACATTCACATTTCGGCGTTGTAAGTAACCTTTTATCAGAGCCCCGTGCCCTCACTTGTGTGTGTGTGTGTGTGTGTGTGTGTGTGTGTGTGTGTATTGTCCGTGTTGCTCTCTTGCTTGGGCTGCGTAATTAAGCTGTGATAGAGCTTGCCATGCGGCCTGCCTGAAACATTTCCTCCCTGAGTCTTCATAGAAAAACTTTGCTGATGTCTACTTTAGAGAAATAGTTTAAACATATAAAAGTTTGATGTATTTAAAATTTATTAATGCTATCTTCTTTTTTTTGGTACTGGGGATTGAACTCAGGACCTTGAACTTCTTTTTTTTTTCTCCTTTTTATTGAGCTATTGGTACAATCTAGGTATACATTACAGTTACATTCATTATTGGGATTCTGTACCTTTTACATAATAGGTTTTGATTCTCATTTTTTCCCCTTGTCCCTGACCTCCCTTCACCCTCCCCTCCCCTCCCCATTTACAAACACTTTATTTCCATTTTTTCATTTTCTCATATTTTTTTCCTCTCCCTTATTACCTTTCCTCTACCCTTCCTGCTTTCCCTACACCTTTAGCCCTTTACTTCCTATTTCACATTCTTAATTATCTCATTAGGATCCTGTGTACTATTATAATTTTTCACACCAGAGAAACTATTCGGTATTTCAGTTAAAGAAATCTCCATATGAACATTAAAAATAGGGGCTCCTAAAATAAAATTAAAAAGGAAAGTAAAAGAGAAAAGGCAATGATGTAAGATTAAAATAATCCTTAATTCTAAAGATGAAAAGGGTCCCTTAACATATTTAAATTGCTTCTTGCTCTTGTAGTCTTATCTTATTCTTTTTTTTTCATTATTTAGAGAATATTAGTTTCCGTAATCAAATCCACGTAGATATGACCTTACATATTTAATACTGTGCGTTACCGCTGTACAAATGGATGAAAAAACACAAAGAAAAGAATAATATCCAGAAAACAGCAAAGTTCTGTTGCTGTTGTGGTACCTGGCACCATTTTTTTATTGACATCTTAATCATCATCTGGAAAGAGAACATTCTAGAGTAACATCATTAAATATAGCTCTGATAAAGCATGGTCTATGTATCATAAAGCAGGTACAAGATATTTTACATTCACAGAGGTATGATACATTACCGTCCAATAATATCCAGAAAACAGCAAAGTTCTGTTGCTGTTGTGGTACCTGGCACCATTTTTTTATTGACATCTTAATCATCATCTGGAAAGAGAACATTCTAGAGTAACATCATTAAATATAGCTCTGATAAAGCATGGTCTATGTATCATAAAGCAGGTACAAGATATTTTACATTCACAGAGGTATGATACATTACCGTCCTACATCAATAATACTAGAATCAGTTTTGGTTTTAAATTTGCTTTGTCTGCATATAAGATTGCTACCCCTGCTTTTTTCTGGGCTCCTGTCACATGGAGAATTGTTTTCCATCCTTTCTCTTTCAGTCTATGGGCTTCTTTTTGCACTAGGTGTGTTTCTTGTATACAACATATTGTTGGATTTTGCTTCTCATTCCATTTTGCCAGTCTGTTTCTCTTGATCAGTGAGTTGAGGCCATTGACATTGATGGTTATAACTGATATGTACTGACTTATTATTGACATGTTATTGGCCTTTTGTTGACTTTTTTTTTACTTTTTCACCTTCTCCTTTTAGTTTTTTGCCTGGCCTATTTGATTTGCTCTATTGGGCCTTGTGTTGTTGCCTTCATTGTCTTTTTGTAGGATCTTGTTTAGAATTGCTTATAGTGCTGGTTTGGTATTCATGTAGTTTCTCAGGTGTTCTTTGTCGTGGAAGTGTCTTATTTCTCCATCCATTTTGAAAGAGAGTTTTGCAGGATACATCAGTCTAGGTTGGAGGTTGTTCTCTTTTAGTACTTGAAATATCTCATTCCAGGCTCTCCTTGCCCTAAGGGTTTGTGTTGAAAAGTCTGCTGTGATTCTGATGGGGTTTCCTTTGCATGTGATTTGTTAGGACCTTGAACTTCTGAGGCAGGCAGAGGAACACTGAGCTAAATCCCCTGCCTGTTATGTTCTTTTTTAAAAAAAACACAACTTATTGAGATATACTGGACATACAACAAATTGCACATATTTTAAGTATAGTAGTTTGATAAGATAGGTAAATATTCATGAAGCTATTACCATAATCAAGGTAATGAATGTAGCCATTGTCCTCAAGTTACCTTATGCACCTCTGAAATTCACCTTACTTAGGTCTCATCTCATCCCACACTGTACCCAATAACCACTGCTTGACTTTGTCACTATAGATTAGTTTACATATTTTGGAGTTTTCTAAAAATGGAATCTTATGATGTATATATGTCTACGCTATTTGGCTAATTTTATGTAACAAAATTATTTTGAGATTCATTCATGTTATTGTATGAATGGCTCTTTCCTTTTTTTGACTGAGTAGGATAGGTTAGATTTGTTTATTCATTTATCTCTCTCTCTCTTTTTTTTTTGTAGTACTAGGCACTGAACCAGGGCCTCATGTATGCTAGACAAGTGCTCTACCATTGAGTTACACTCTCAGACCTTTTCAAGTTTTATTTTTAGACAGGACCTCCCTAAGTTGCCCAGGCTGGATTTGGACTTGCAATCATCTTGCTTAGCCTCTTGAGTAGCTACAGTTACAGGCATGTGCTACTGTGCTCACATTCATTTACCTCTTTAGGGTATTGTGTCTTTTTCCTTGTCTGATAACTGTTAGTAAATCTTTTATGAACTTTTGCATACAAGTTTTTTACAGACATATACTTTTTTGTCTTGTGGATAAATAGGAGTAAAATGGTTTGCTTATAAAACAGGTGTGTATATAATTTCTAAGCAGCTGTCAGACAGTTTCAAAGTGCCTATTCCATTTAACATTTACACATACACTGTTGGGAGTACCAGTTCTGTCCTAGGAGCCAGTATTTGTCATTATACAAACACGTTTGCACTATTTGTATGAAGTACAAGGAAGAGTTTGTAAAAATCTAATTAATTTAGGTGGTAGACTAAAGAAAATGTGATTTTTAACAATCATCTTTGAGGTCTACATCACTTAGATTATTGAAAAAACTGAAGATGCGGAATTATGACTGCTTGTAAAATGGGCAATGTATGTCACTTTGTAATTTTAAGTGTTTATAAAGTGTGTGACCCCAAATGCCTACCCTGTTTTGGGATCAGAGTCCTCTGAGACACTGAGCTTCTAGCTGGCATACAAATCAAAGAGGAGATTGTCAAGAACACAGATATTTGGGTTCCATCCCTAGGATTCTGAGCCAGAGAGGTGGGGTGGGGCCTGAGACTCTGCATTTTAAGAGGCACTGTAGTCGGTTGTGCACACTTGTGATACCTGAGGGTTGTGATTTGGGGACCACTTGTTCACTGTGTCGTGATAGTAAGCATTGCTCAAGTATTAGGTACTGAATTTTAAATGTGTTCTTTGGTAACAGTCTACTCAGACAAGCTTCCTCATTGTCCATTTTCACCTTTTGCATTTTTAGATAGTTTATACATTATAACTAGCCTGATCATTCCCAGGATAATTTCAACCATTTCAAACCCTCCTCTTCCTTCCCATTTCCTGCCCCTTCCTCAAGGTCTTTTTCTTTTTCTTCATTAAGCCAGAATCCAGAATCCATGATAGAGTTTATGAGAGTAAATTGCTTTGCTGCTATGAAGTTAAAATCCTTTTTTGAAATTGGCTTAAAGCATTTGTATGCCGAGGTAATTCATTTGAATAGTGTAGTCACTATAATGCAAAAAACTAGAATGTTTGTTTCTGTTAAACATACAGTGGAATTTAAATAAAATAATGTTTTTCTCTTTTTAAAAATATACTCTGTTTAGAACTATTTTGGTGGAAAACTCTCTGCTCAAGGGAAAATGCCTTGGATTGAATATAATAATGAAAAAGTTTCTGGCACAGAATTCATAATTGACTTTCTGGAAGAGAAACTTGGAGTGAATTTAAACAAAAACCTTGGCCCACATGAAAGAGCTGTGTCGCGAGCGGTGACCAAGATGGTGGAGGAGCATTTCTACTGGTGAGTCCCCCATGGCACCTCCCCAGCCTTTGGGAGTAAACTCAAGTTCTGTTGCATTTTTCAGATATTTCTCTCACCTTTTCAAAGGTTCTGTGTTAACAGTTTGGGGTCCAAGTTATCATGGTAACAATTCCGGGTATCTAGACTAGCGGTCAGCAGACATTTCATGTAGGGGACCAGCCGGTAAATATGTTGGCTTTGTGGGCCATGGGTCCCAGATGCAACTACTTATCACTGCTGTTTTATCATAGAGACAGCCATAGACAATATGCCAGTGAATATGGTTGATTGTGTTTGATAAAACTTTATTATGGACACTGAAACTTGAATTTTACTTAATACAGCATATAATTCTTTTGATTTCTTTTTCTAACTGTGTAAACATGTAAAATTCCTAGCCTGTGCACTGCAGTTTGCTGGCCCTCAGTGTAGGCTGGAACTCACCTGATATTTCAGTTTTTTGGGGTCTGGGCTCTTCACCCACACAAAGCACTGAGCTAAGGTACTCTCATCCGAGATACCCAGAGCAAGGAATGGAAGACTAAGTCAAGGTGGAATTCCTAGGTGAAGTAAATTATGCAACCTTTGTGAGATTACTGCCCATTTTCTTTAGGTAGTAAATTTTTTTGTGTCCCAGAAGTAAAGTGTATAGCCTCTGTAGTTTCTTTGCTCTGACTGCCTGACTCCCAAGTTTGAAGCATCACATGAGTTGTGCTGATGTGTTTGTTTCTCCTGTTCTGCTTGTTGCGGCCTTGAATTTGCTGCACTGCATGAGTTAAGCAGATCTGATTCTTCTTATTTTGCAAGTGCAAAGTCATGTGAGCTTTTTGCTCATTTGCTCATTCATTTTCTGACAGTTTTGCTTCTTTCTTTGTATGCAAATAGATGAGAGAAAGTTTCTCCCTGGTTTCTAGAAACTTTATCTTGTCCTAAAGGTTTAGTGAAGAATTACTAAGCCCAGCCTTTTGGCTCTGCTTTGTCTGGGCTAGATGCTGGCCCAGTCGCTTTTACTGACTCCTTCCTCCCACTGAGAGGCCCCCTCCCATGAGGGTGACTGTATAGGTTCTTCTTCATTGGCTGCCTATCTCACTCATTCTGCTCTTTCTAAATGGAAAACTTGCTCTTCTGGTCTCTGAGATTTTAAGTGAGCCTCTATTTTCCTTTTCCTCTTTCTACTTTTGTTTCTTCCGCAGTTTATTCTGGGCTGAGCTCCATTTCCTCTTCCCCCTTACTATGGCAATGAGGAAGGGATGAGCAAAGGGGGACAGGGGAGAGGATGGAGGCAAAGGTACAGGCCAGTGTGGAAGAGATTGGCTTAGTGTGCTGGAAGGAACCCGAATCTTTTCCTGAGAACTGCAGGGCTCTCAGAGTTCAAGAGTCATAGGGGACAAAATGTGACTTGCTTGGCTTCTGGGAGAAGGCTTGCAAGATATAACCCATTTCACTTGCCAGCTGCAGACTCGGCTCTGTGGTGATGCAGGCAAAGGGAGAACCACCTGAGCCTTGGGTTTTTTTGTTTTGTTTCATTTTTGTTAGGACCATCCAAAGCAATACCTTATTTGGTAGGTGGGCTCCTTGATGTGGAGAGCTAAGGCATTGTCTCCTGCCTGAAAGGCTGAGGGCTCTATGTTGGCTATAACTCTTACATTTCCAGAATAGCTTAGAAAATACATGTTCTGGTGAAAAAGCTTTTGATTCAGTGAAGTTCCCAACTCCTACATGTCACCACCTTTTGCCCTGATGGATGCATCATTTTATGTAACTGTAGAGCCTGGTAGAAGTTCATGTCTGTCCTCCACCTAAAATGGGGCTGGGGGAGGGGGAGATTGTGAAAGGGAGGGAGGGGAAGAACAGAGCTGACATGTGGTACCATGGAGGGAAGGATCAGTTTTATGGACCAAAAACTTTCAAGTGCTTGGAGTCTTGCTTGGGTTATGTGTGACTCTTCTGAGAATAATCTTCTTTCTCTAACTCACTTTTTAATTAGAAAAGTATTTTTCAGGTGAGCTCATCTTTCTTACTTGTTTATGCTCAGAAGTTTAATTTCTAGTAGAAGAAAGAACAAAAAAGTGTCTTTGAGTTTCCAAGGCTTAGCCAGTGCCATTGTCATCATCATGCTTTCCTGAGAGAGCTCTAAATCCCAATGGAGGAAAGATCTCATCGTCCCCAAGAAAGTGCTTCAGGCAGAGAATCTTCCGCACTGTTCCCTCAAGCTCCTGTCCTTCTTCCTATCTTCTGGTCTCAGAGATCTTGCACAACTCCTGCACCTGTGGGAATGTGGGCCTAGCAGTATGGGGGAGAATGTCAAAAGCATGAGTTTTCCAAGAGATCTTGCTAAATTCTGACAGTTGTTGTATCCCTAGGTTATATTGCTGCTCCCAGACGTGGGAGAGAAAATTCAATAAACTCACAGTGTTTAATCAATATCTGGGAGTTTTAGACGTGGTTTATTTTGGCCTGACACCTTAAAAGTTTTCTACTTCAGGTATAATTTTCTGAAAAACCAAGGCTATAGAAAGCTGTCATTTATGTGTAATATCATATAGTTCTGAACCCCTGTTTTAGGACTGTTCAGACAAGTGCACTCAGCTCTGAAATCAATGATTTTTCTTGCATTTTAAATCTGTGCGATTATGTCTCAGTCGCATTATAAAAGGTATTACTGAAGATGAAGTAGACATTTTTTCCCTATCCTTTTTATTCTACTCTTTCACGTGTGGAATGCTTAAGTTAGGTCCAAGGCAGGGGAGCTGATATGAAGAAATGTCTGGGAGACAAGGGATTTAACTAATGGAATGAAATTGAATTTTGGTAACATACTGTACTGGCAATGTGACATACCGCCCCCTTGAGGACATCAGTGAGTTCTTTAAGATTCTTCCAACCCCACAGAGGTGTGCAGGACATCACTGTCAGATTACCTTAGTCATACCATTGTCACCCATAAAAATATAGCCAAATTTACTTCTATGATGACAATAAATTTAAAAATTTGAGCTTGGCTTTTTTTCTTCTCAGTGCTGGGAATCAAACTGCATGCTCTACCACAGAGATGCACATCCCCAGCCTGAGCTTGGCTTTTTTTTTTCTTCTTTCTTTTTGGTACTGGGTATCGAACTCGGGCCCTTGTGCTTATGAGGCAGGCAGCGGAAGGTGGAACCACTGAGCCAAATCTCCAGCCCAATAGTGTGTATGTGATTTTTTTTTTTGTACCAGGGATTGAACTTGGGACCTTGTGCTTGTGAGGCAGGCGGCAGAACTACTAAACTTAAGTCCCCACCACTACAAGCATGGCTTTTGATGTGATTTCAGTGCCTGAGGGAGATGGGATGCTTTCATAAAATAACTCACCCAAGAAGGTCTGTTCTGAAAGCCAAGACACACTCTGATTACAACTGGATCCATGCGTTTTGTTCCCTTTTCATTCTTCTATTCCTTCCAATGTTAGTGATAGTAAGGGTTAGTTGAATGCTTGTGAAACCCGGTGACATTACAGAAACAGCATAAACTTCTGCATCTTTAGCAAATGTTCAGAGTAGAAGCAAAAGACAGCAAGGATGTAGCCCCATACCAAGAAAGGCATTCTTCTTACTTGGCTACATTCTGAGACTCAGAATGGTGTGCTTTGCAGTTTTCTGCATATTAGTATTCACTACTATGGGCCTCACATTATGTTAGGTTATAATGAGATATAACTTCATTAAACATCAGGTTCAGCATTTTTTTGTTGTCTTGATCTCCTTTAAAAATATTCGAGCAGGTTTTATTCTTCTTTTAGATAATGTCTAGAAAATCATTTTTACAGGAGATTAGGTAGATTGGTTATGATAAGGAAAATCAGATCTCAGCTTCCTGAAATAGACTCGCAGATGATAAATTAATTGCTTAGCCTAGTCTGGTTTCCACATTGGCCCTCTCTGCTGTCTCGTGTTGACCAGTCGTGATTTCCTGTGCCGTGGGCTTCCTTCCGGTGAAGAGGGAGGAGCCAGGGACCTGAGAAGAGCAGCAGCCCCTCGTCCTCCACAGGCACTCCTCTCTCTTCACTTTTCTGCTCAGTCATGTGTCATCCCTCAGAACTACTGTTTAGCAGTAGTTGGCTCAGAATGAAACTTTCCTTTCAATCAGTACTTCACCCTTCAGCAAACTAAATGACTGACTCCCAGTGTCCCTGTCCTCAAGTGGCTCAGAGGCTGGGGAGAGAGAGCAGGCCCTTCAAATGGTCATGGTTTGGGAGAATTGAAGAACTGAAGAGAGGCAGTGCGCACCTGCTGCAGACACCGAAATACACCCCACATTCTTTTTTATTTATTTCTTTTAAAATTTTGAGATGGAGTCTTGCTAAGTCGCTCAGGCTGACTTCTTGTGATCCAGTGAAGCCGGGCTACAGACATGTGCCAGCACACCTCACTTAGTGTCTCTTTTGTGAGAGTATTAATCCCACTCACGAGAGCTCTGCTCCCATGACCTAATCACCTCACGAAGGCCCTACTTCCTACCACCATCATGGTGGAGATTAGGTTTCCGTAGGAGGTTTGAGGGGTCGTAATATTCAGCCTCCAGCAGGGACGTGCATAAAGTGCGTGGGAAGAAGTGCAGAGGGATGGGGACACAGAAGGGTAGAGCACAGAGGGATTAGGCCGTGGGAGCAGTGAAAACATCTCCTGAGATCCATGAAGGGTAACTGTCGAATTCTGACTTGGTTGCCAGAGAAGGAGGTTTGAAAGGCGCAAGGATGAATCCAGTTTAGGAAATGTTTGCGTTTCCTGAGGCTGATCCTTGGAATCCATGGATTCTGGGACAACAGTCTGGGCGGAATGAGGATTTGGAATAAGTGTGAAACCTTAGCTGTAAATTAGATTACCTCTTGAGTGTAGACTAAATAGGCAGAAAGCTAGGAGAAGAAAACTTTGGGAACATGTGAGAGGTGGGAGGAAAAGCAGTAGAGATGTCTGTCGGCTAAGAGAAGTTCCAAGAAAGAGGCCAATGGTGTCAGATGCTGTAGAAAGTTCTTAAAAGCTAGATATAGAAAGAAGGGTTATTTGGATGTTGCGTTGAGGAGATGATTGTTGACTTGCACCGGAGTGATTTTGGTGGAATGATGGGGGTGGAAGTTCACATGAATGGAGTTTCCAGAAATTTTGGTTGTGAGAGGAGGTGCATGCTCAGTTGTAGTGATACAGAAACAAGTGTAGTGGATGTTTCCTACTGTAGTAGTTGATTTAGGAATCTATATACACTCCTTTGCTTTGATATTTGAAGTTGATACATACTTCACTACACTTGGCCCCTGAAGAGTGGGCCTGGCCCTGATTTGCCTGGATACTGGTCTGTAATGTTAGGCACAGTAAAGGGAAGCGAGGAAAGTAATCAAGAGGAGGGAAGGAAAGAGGAGGGAGGAAGACCAGAATTTCTGAGGTTACTTCTACCTGCAAAATTCTGAATGAACCCTGTGTTCCTTCTTCTGTGCCCTACACGCAAGCTGATAGTGCAGCTAGAGAACCTTACACCTCTGATTTGATGGAGTCTCGTCCTTGCCGAGCCCTGTGGCCCAGAACAGCTGACTCTCCCGTCCCTGTGTGCTGCTCTCTGCAAGGTCGTCATCTTCTGCACATGCCCTCATGCACATTTCCTGCTCTGCAGAGGAAGCTGAACTTGGAACCTCCGTGTAGCCTCTCCCACTTTGCAACCCTTCTTCCTATAACTCACCATTTGCCCCTTTCAGCCTGGCCTCATTTTCTAACTTGATCTTGAACTGTGGTTTTCTGAACACTGCTCCTCACTCCAGAAGCTTCCTTAAGTGTCCTTTTCTCCTCTTATAGCTTAGAAATTGCCACCATTTCTCTATCTGCAGTCTAAACCTGTCTCCTGAGTTCTCAGCCTTATATTGTAAACATCTCCACTTGGTGGGGGGGAGCGGTCCATGAGACCCTCAGATACAACTGGATAACTCATCTTTCAATGCCCAAGTTTGTTCCATGTAGTGTAATACAGTTAAGTGGGATTATTCCTTTGAGCCATCATCAGCCTTGGAGAAAATACTTACTTTCTTCTTCTCCACAGTTCTTACGCCCATTGGTCTGTTTCTTCTGTCTCAGTTTTTCTCCTGTGCCTTCCCCATCCGTCCCCTCTGCTGTTGCCATGGTCAGTGGATTGTAATTTTTTTGGCCTGGTCTTGCCGTGAGCTTCTGATCAGCCTTCTTATCAGCACTGTCGCAAATACGATTATGTTTCTTGTCTGCTTAAAGCCTGTCGTGGTTAACCTTGGTTGTTGGACAGAGTTCATCTACCTTTGCCTCACGCTGTGCGATGGTCGCCGCCTCCCTTCCAGCCTCCTCTCTGCCGGGCTTCCTCCTGTGCGTCCTGTACCCCACCCACATTTTCTGGGGTTCTCCCAGGTCAGCAAGCAGCCACTGTTCTTCACACACCTCCCTTTGTCTTCTGCTCATCCATCAGCCTTGGTGATGATAAAACCTATGTCATCAGCCTACAGAGAATTTAGTTCTTCTCCATTTCAACGTGTCAGCTTATAACTACGTTCTTCATTTTTACACTTTAGATGCCTCCTAGATGCTGTTATTTGTTGGTTGTGCTCAGTATTGAATAATTTAGTTTTATCTTCAGACCATCGACTTCCAAAATTATCCAAAATTATCCAAGTTATCCAAAGAGTAAATGATCTTTTAATTGTGAATTTAGATCTAGTGTAATTAAAACCAGAGTGCTCAGTTATTTTAATGCCATGTGAAAACACAATTAGAGTTAAAGTGCTCAATTATTCTAATGCAGTGTAAAAATTGCCACCTTAATAATTGCAGGCGTAAAAAGAAAAGCAAGTAGAAAAGTATTTAGTTTTCATGTTTATATAGAACTTATCAGAATAACATGGGATATTTTATATCAAAAGATCCATTGAATGCTTTTAACTATGCACACTAATTGCTCACCTTTGTAATGTGCTTTTTTCCTATTTTCAGCAAAATCCATTTCTTGAGTCCTCAATATTTTATTTTAAGAAACTTACTAAAAATAGTTGTATGAAGTTTTCTAACAATATTTGTGGGCATTCTTTTAAAAAGATAATAAAGAAGATTATGGTTGTAGTACATAGAGTATGTTAAATTGGTTATAGAATTTTGCAGTAAAAATCAGGAATGTTTCAAAAAATTTAGAGACACCCATTTCTTTCTTATTTTAATTAATTAGAGCAGAGAAGCCTAAAAGGTCAAAATTGTGTAAAATAATCAAAGTTTCAGAATCTTATTTTGTTGTTTTTGCTTTTATTTTTTGAGACAAAGTCTCACCATGTAGTTCAGGCTGGCTTTGTGCTTACTGTGTAGCCCAGACTGGCCTAGAACTCAGTGATCCTCCTGCCTTAGCCTCCTGAGTGCTGGGTTTACAGCCATGTGCCACCTCGGCCTTTTTTTTTTTTTTTTTTTTTT